GACCTTTGCTGTTCCTTCCAAAACTGGCTGAGCTAAGCCACAGAGAGGAGAAGGAAGCACCCAAAGCTGCCTCCCTTATCCAGCCTACAAGAGAAAATGGTGGTGCCATTCATAGGCAGGAGGGGATCGAGCCTTGGGAGCTGTTATGGTTTGCATCTAGATGTCACCCCAAAACCTCATGCAGTCATGAGAGGGCCTTCTAGAGTTTGTGATTGATTTATGGTCCAATGCTGGGATGAAGGGTGTGAATGCTACACCCAACCTGGAGTGGGTACCCTGCATACAGGATAAGGGAAGGAAAGGGACTTATCTCTGTCTCTCCTTCCTCTTGTTGCTTTTGCTGTCTTCCACTTCCATGAACTGTTACCCCTCTGCCATGAGCCACCCTGCCTGGTCTCAGCCAATTATGAACTGAGACCCCTACAAACTGTGAGCTAAATAAACCTTTCCTCTTTTAGCTTTGGGTGTTGGGTATTTTTGCCTCATGAACAAGAAAATTAACTAAGACAGGAGCTTAACCAACAAAATCAATTTTTTTCAGTTCTGGAGGTGAAATCCAAGATCAAGATGTCAGCAGGTTTGGCTTCTTCTGAGATCACCATCATTTGCTGTGTCCTTTCAGCAATGTGTACATGTATTTCTGGTGTCTCTGCATGCCCCCTCTTCTTAGAAGGATGTCGGTCACATGGATTAAAGCCCACTGTAATGACCTCATTTCACCTCTCTCATCCCTTTAAATGTCCTATCTCCAAGTGCATTCACATCTTAAAGTAATCACGGTTAGGTCTTCAGGAGAGGACATAACTCTGCTCACTGGTGGCACCTCTGGAGAAGAGACTACTTTTGAGGGAGGCACTTACAGAAGCCATCTCTCCTCTAAGCTGGCACTGATCCTCAGGCCCTCTGCATCCTTCCAGCAAGGGCTGAGAAGCCACTTGCATGCAGTGTGGCTAAGAATCCACCCAAACCACTGAATTTCTTTCTCCTCATTCTTTTTCCCAGAGAAACAGAGAAAGCTTGTGTCAACAAACTGGTTGGGCATATGGAAAAATCTTTCTTTCTGTGATCCTCATACTAAAGGGCCAGTACACTGTCCTTCCTAGGAAGAAGTCCCAGGAGGATGTGGGCAGCCCACAGACTAGGTCTGGTGCATTCTCTTTGGAGTTCTCTTTAAAGACATCTAGAGGGGCTGGGGAGATAGCTCCATGGTCTAAGTGCCTGTCTGGTAAGCACAAGGATCCAGATTCAATCCCCAGTACTGTGTGCTGTGATGGCCACTGAAACCCGGTGTGGTGGTGCATGCCTGTAATCCCAGCATTGGAGAGGCTGAGACAGGAGGATCACTATAAGTCCAAGCTGCATAGCAGGACCCTGTACCAAATAAATAAATGAATAAATAAATACATGAATAAATAAGTTTTAGAGAAGGCTTTAGGGAAGGCTTTGCACAGATACTCAAACCCACTGAGAACAACATGTGTGTGGAGTGAGTAAGCAGGGAGGAAAGTTTGATGAGTCCACCCAACAGGTCCCAGAGCACTGAGGCTTTCTAGGGGCCTTACTCTGCACTGCTGCCTTCTGAGTTTGCATAGTGCATTTCCCTCACATAAAGATGTGGTTTATTCTTCATTTACTGCTTATTTTTTCCAAATGAAAGATTTCTCCCATCTAGATTACTGATTGGCAACCAGAGAAGAATAATCTGGAGTCTAAATCTTTTTAATTATATGAAGGAAGCTCCCAATTTTTGATGGTTTGAATTAAGGATGGCTTGACATTACAGTTATGCTCAAGCAGACCCCTAAAACTGCTCTGTTTTTCTCTTTTGGCACAGTATTCAATAGACTGAAAGATATGTTAAAATAGGCTCTATGTAAGATGATTTTGCCCAGTGATATGCCAGTTTTTAAGTGTTCTGAGCACATCTAAGAAAGGTGAGGCTAGCCTATGTTCAGGTTTGGTTTATTAAATGCATTTCAATTTATGATATTTTCAATTTATGATGGACTTTTCTATTATAATGCACCCAACTGAACTTATCTATTCCTTTTTTTGTATAGAATTTGGCTTTTATATATTTACTCATCTCAACTATTTTTATTTTACTTTAATATTTTAAAAAATTGTGGGAGGCCTGCCCCATAGCTCAGTTCTTTAAGTGGCTGCTTCAACAAAGCAGTCAGGCTCAGGTTGCTGTGGTTCGATCCCCACAACTCAAGCCAGTCAAACCTGCCCTGAAGGCATTCAGAGCAAAAAAAAAACAACAAAAAACAAAAAACAAAAATAAAAAACAAAAACAAACAAACAAACAAACAAAAACCCAAATCATAAAAAATTGCATCACTGAAAGGAAGGGCAGTGCTTTGTCAAGAGTAAAGGATCTATAATTTCCAGAGCTTGGCCAGGCCAAAACTCTGTGTCTTCAGGAAGCTGAAGGATCACAAGCACATTGCCATTCAATGCTCTGAATCTAGTCTTTATTACCCCTCATACAATGGAGTGAATCTAGTCTTTAAAATGAAAAATAAAATAAGACCTATAGCACTGGGTTGCTTTGAAAATCAAGTGACTTCATAAACAAAAGAGAATGAATCCTTCTGAAAATGTGATGGATTATATGGAATAGGCAACCCAGTGGAGCAGACGCCCAGAACTTGAAATCCAGATTCTACTAAGCTACTGCAACACTGAGCATGTCCTTTCCTATCTCCAAGACTTTCTCATGTGTAAAATGAACGTCACTTCTCGACTTCAGTGTAAGTTAGAATTGCCACAGCCACATCTGGGTCCACCTCCAGAAATTCTAACTTGGTCGATCTAAGATGAAGTCCAGAGACTTCCACTTCTTAAGAAGTTTTGTTTTTTCTTGGTTGTTCTAAAGCTCAAATTAAAAAGCACTGAGCCACCTGCCTGCCCTTTTATATTTTTGAGGCCAGGTCTCACTCTTGGCTGGGCTTCAGCTGATAATCTTCCTCTGTGTCAGGCTCTCCAGTGCTGGAATTACAGTTAGCCTGCAGCCGCATCTGGCTTCAACAAGCATCTTAAGGGATTCCCATGCAAATGGGTTGGCAACCACAACAAGTAGAGCACTGGTTAGAAAAATACTTACTGAATACTTACTCTATGTTCTAAGCTCTAAAGAAGAAAGAAGGACCTTTTCCTCCCTGAGTTTCTACTCTAGTGGAAGAGACATCATAAATGTGTAAATAAATACATAGCACACAATTAGTGACAATTACTGTGTAGAAAATGAAATGGACAGAGACAAATTGGAACAAGCAGGGGAGCGCTCAAGCAATCATGTTGCCCAGCCCTTATATGCTGCAGTGACCAACACATCACTCAGCAAGTTGTATTAGGTACCTATTCCCAACCCACTTCTATCTAGAGATTGTGAAGGACACAAGAGGTGTGATAGATACAGCTTACAGGGAGAAAACTCACCCTCTGTAATTGGCAAGCAAGGAGCAAATCAGCCCAGAGTAAATGATCACCTGTCCCCCAGTGTGGGGCTGATTTTAAGTGTGGTAGAACTTCTCAAAGGTGGGATCAGCCTGGGCAGCAATGGCTGGACAGTGCTCTGACAATGAATACACTTGAAACAGGCCCACTTGCAGGCCAGATGACTTTACAAAGACTCATGGTTGTTTATGAGGTCAGCGAAGGTATGCAGACCCAGAGAGGTTCGGCACCCAGAGCTAGCAGATGAAATGTGTGGTCAGGGAAGACAGCAGGAAGCACAGGTTCCCTCACCCTGTTTGGTCTCATAAATTCAGAGGCTTGGGCATATCATTTAATCTCTCTGAGTTTAATTGCTTCACCTATAAAAGAGGGATAATAAACTTATGTCAACCTCTCCCATAGGGACAGTATAAGAACAGAAAAGAGACAATAGCTGGAACAGGGTGCATAATGGGGAGAAGACTATTTATTGGGTGTTGCTTTTTATAGATTGATTGGAAACCTTGCTGTAACTGCACAGTGGAGAGTCTTGAAACTAAAAGTTCTCTGTGAGCACTTTCAACTGCCACCCTATCAACTTTATATTACTAAAACCCAGTTTTATATTAATTCTCACTACATAATTTTAATATTCTCTACATGTGTGTCCTTCTAAATGGCTCCTAACTTAAAGCACAAGGTTGCCTAGAAATTTTTATAGCTTAGAACTGAAATGTCCCCAAAAGTTGCAGAAATGAGGTTTTAGATGCCAGTTGCAAAAAAAAAAAAAAAAAAAAAAAAAAGCAGTTGCATCACAGGGATGCTTTACTCCCCAGTGTGTTAATCTATTGATGAGTTAATAGTTGGATATGCTCTTAGGAGGTAAGATCTGGTCAGC